ATTACCTAATTTGCATAATTAATTTCAGCTTTTCTTCTGATGTCTAAAGTACTAATCATCACATATCAATGAATGTTTGTACATGGATGCTGTAGGCCAATAGACAGACTTGGATAATTGTGGGTTAAAATCTGTACATATTAATTACCTAATTTGCCTAATTAATCAATTTTAAGCTTTCACACTGATATCTAAAGTACTAATTATTCCATTTCAATGAAACTTAGTACAAAGATGCTCTAGGACAATGTACAAACGTGATTAGTCTGGGGTTAAATCTGTTCATATTAATTCATAATTTTTTGGTTCTGATCACATTTCAATGAAACTTGGAAACATAGAATTTCTTTTACATTGCGCAGACCTCATTAGTTTTACACTCAAATCTGTTCATATTAATTTTCTGATTTGCATAATTAGTTTTCAGCTAAGTAATTTCGAATTATATTTAATGTGTCTCCAATACTCTCAGCACATGGGAGTTCTTTCTAAGCTTTCTTTGATTTTTCTTTCGTTCTTCTTACTTACTTACATACTATTTTTTTAAACATATAAATATCGAAAAATAAGAGCTGCAATTACATGATTTCTCCCAACTTCACTGGGAAAAAAAAATTCAAAATGATTAATTTAAAAACATGGATGTGTTAAAACACTAAAAGAAGGCTAATAACAAGTTTTTCTCTGAAGTCATACTTTGCATATACTTTCAAACACAAAGGCAACAATTGCTTATGGCCATATTTAGAACTTTCCTAAAAAGTGTTCATCTATGACTGACACTAAAACATAATTTGTGCATTTTTTGTAGCTTGTACCTATTTTGGATTCTGTGAGGCCCACACGATGCATAAACAGTTCCAATATAATTTTAACCACAGTTCTTCTATAAGATCTAATGTAAAATACTTTTCATTGCTATTTTCACTAAAGGAATGAAAATAAAATCAAGCGAATGAACCTTTTTTCCTATATTTTTCAACTCATCAATAAACAATACCCAAAAAGTCTTTTCAACAAAAATTAATTCCAGCTAATATGTGATAGAATTTATTTTCAACTTCATGTTGCTGAAGTGCATAAAATGCAACAATCATGTCTTGAGTCATATTGTGACAAAGTGGATCAAATTAAATGCAATGGTGTTGTCTATTGTTGGATAGATCATCAGTTCATGCATCTATTGTGAAGCTAATTGGATGACTTCATTATTTCTATGGTTATTAGTCCCCGTTCGGACGCAGTCTGAAAACGGGGACTTATGTTTTGCCCCGTGTGCGTCCGTCCGTGCGTCCGTGATCACCTGTATCTCGAACATGCATGGACCGATTAAGTTCAAACTTCACTCATACATCACACATTATATGGGACATATGCACATGCATTTTTTTCATGATCCGATTAACGATAGCCGAATAGCGGCCATTTTAAGGCCGAAAATGCATCAAAATCGCACATTTTCACCATTCCGGACCCGGATCTCAGTTATGCATGGACGGATTTTGTTCAAATTTGGTACATACATTAAACATAATAGGACCTTGATGCACGTCATTTTTTTTTTTTCATCGGGTTCGAAATGGCCGACTGGCGGCCATTTTGTTTTAAAGAATTCAGTTCTGGATCCGTATCTGAGACATGCTTGGATTGATCGAGTTCAAACTTCACACACACAAGGTACATCATGTCACAAATATGTATGTGCATTTGTTTCATGATCTCATTAACGATAGCCAAATGGCGGCCGCTTTAAGGCCGAAAATGCATTGAAATCACACATTTTCACCATTCCGGACCCGGATCTCAGTTATGCATGGACGGATTTCATTCAAATTTGGTACATACATTAAACATAATAGGACCTTGATGCACGTCATTTTTTTTTTCGGATCAAGTTCGAAATAGCCGACTGGCGGCCATTTTGTTTTAAAGAATTCAGTTCTGGATCCGTATCCGAGACATGTCTGGATTGATCAAGTTCAAACTTCACACACACAAGGTACATCATGTCACAAATATGTATGTGCATTTGTTTCATGATCTCATTAACGATAGCCAAATGGGGGCCGCTTTAAGGCCGAAAATGCA